GTTGTTGTTTTAGTCTCTTTAAATTATTAAAAGAAAGGAAAAGCTGGGAGTGTGGTGGCATCTGTTTGTAACTCCACCACTGGCCGTGCAACTCACTGTGCAGTTACAGGCTTCTGCCCAAAATCCAGGCAGACAAAGGCTGGTCTCTGCTTCCCACACGTTTACGAATTGTTCCATACAGCATTCCCATCTTTAGATAGATCACTCAAAATCAACTTCAACAAAGCAAGTGCAATGAGATGGTTAGGCAGGTAGAGATACTTAGCAAATCCTGGTTGTGGGGGGTCTCTGCAAATGCTTGGGCTGGCAGATCAGCAATCCATATGAGGTGACAAGAAAATCTTTCAACACAACTTAGTAGCTAATATTGGTTTAGACATCTAGAGTGTCACCCCAGGCAGTTCTTCTTATTTTTTTCATCTATTTATTTCACATCCTGGCCACAGCATTTCCCACCCTCCCTCCCTCCCTCCACTCTCTCCCTCCCATGAATACCTTTCCTGTTAATCATGAGCAAAAGGACCAGCCTGAGTCAGTCTCCTGCATCATCTCATCTACAGATGTCTAGCCCAGCCTCTGCCTCTGTCTCACCTTGGGACTTTGGTCCAGTCTGTGTGCATCCTTCGACCTCTGTCTGCCTCTGTGAAGGGAAGGGGTGAGGGCAGGTGACTTAATCGTGCTTTCAGACCCAAGATCACATCACCCCAAGGATAATTAGAACAAATCCAAGAAAATGTTTTATGGCTAGAAAGAGAAAACACTTTGTACCGATCTAAATTAGAATTTGCCTCTCGGGAGTCAATTAAGCAATTCCCTCAAAGCACTTCACTAACTGTAAAGGAAACAACTAAAATAAGAACAGAAAAAGAAACCCTGCTTTCCCCAGCACTGTAGCAAAATGCTGACTCCTGGCTTGTGCTTAGCTCTGAGTGCCTTATCCAACTTCATAATGTGCTGGCCCTGGCGCTCGCCAGCACAGTGGCCAGTCACCTTTGGAGAAGAAACATTACGGAAAAATAATTACATCCTATCACCTTCGGAGCTATTCTAATTTCAGTGGGGTTTCTCTTTTCCTCCCATTAAACCCAGCCAGTCATTTGGGGTTGACCAAGTGAACAGGCATCATTATCTTCAATTTTAATTTATATGAGGCATCCATAGAAACCGACCTCTGTGGACAGTTAGAGATGCCTGCAGGAGATTAAGGCTGGAGAATCTCTCGAACCCATACGAAGCTGTTGAGAGTGGTAGATCCAAAGGTAATGTCACATTTGAGGGACAGTTTGTTCCAAGGACTTTGGGGTTCTTCTTGAGGCACTCCTGGGCCTTCTTATCCAATTCTTTATCTACATATTACACGGATGACTTTATTAGGGACATCCTAGCTGATGGAGATTGCTATTAAACACAAAGAAGAAGTCATTTTTGGGGTGACCATGTTTTGCTGCTGGGAGATCTGTGTACTTCAGAGCATTAGGGACAGATGTTTGCACAACCAGGAAATGAATGGCCAGGTTCTGTGTGAAAAGATTCAGTGAATAGGGACAACCTTCTTCTTCCCCTAAAATGGATACAGTGTTGCCATAAAGCATGGTAGGCCTAAACTGACTGTTCACACTATCCTATGGAATGGGGACTTGAAGGGACTTCAGGGAGTGGTGGAGTTCAACCCTGTCGTTCTGTACACGGGAGGAGACTGGAGTAGAAAAATCACACCATCAAGGTTACATTCAAGATTCAAGCCAGAGGTGAAGCTCTCTCTCTCTCTCTCTCTATCTCTCTCTCTCTCTCTCTCTCTCTCTCTCTCTCTCTCTCACACACACACACACACACACACACACACACACACATTTGTGCACTCAGGATGCATGCCTTTATGCCTTTAAGGAGGGTCTCAGTGACTTCGACACCAGCCTGGTCTATGTGGAGACCACATGGAGAGTTCCAGGCCAGTCTGGGCTACATAGTGAGACCCTCTTTCAAAAACAATGTCAGCACTGAAGTCAGGGGGCCACATTACCACATCTTGAATATTTGATGGGATAGGGTCAGGCTTTTGAAATTGAATTGTTCTTGCTTGTTGATTCATCCTACCATTCAAAACCATAAGCTAAATTAAGTTTAGTCAGAGATTTGGTGTTTTAGAGGCCACCTCCACCTAGCCATTTGATTATGTGCTAGTGTGGTTGAGTTTTTCTGCTGATCATAAAGCCATAATTTTGGATGACCTGTAGATGTACATTTTTTTTTAAGAGATTGTGTTTTGTTTAGGGAAAATTATTTGGATTCTAATTTGTGTGTGCATGGGGAGAAAATGGCTTGTGTAACCACAGAACAGTTTTATAATTATGAATTCTTTGCCCCATTCTGGACCATTTCAACGCTAATGAGAAATGCAGATGAATTAGCTTGCATGAAAAACACACTCAGAGAGAGCTGTGCAAAAAACAGTTATGATCTCTGGAAGTGTGTTGGTGTGGTAAGTAGTTGCTCTTAAGGTCTTGATCGAGCCAACACGTTACTATGTTGAGCATAGACAGTTTATAAAAGCCAAATCAGCTCTTTGGAAAAAATCAAAGTACAGTGGGAAACTGATACTCATTTCTCTTCCATCGACCAGATGGGTTTTGTGTGTTTGCTGTTTCTGGCATAACACAAACAGGGACAGGAAGCAGAGATATGAAGAAGGACACTTTTGAATAGATCTTTGCCTTCAAAGATGATGAGATATTAGGCCGATTTTGTCACTGGAACAAGAATACAAGAGTATATCAATTTCCTGTGTTTTCCTGATCACACTCCATAGTCCAGTCTCCCAAAGGAAAATATGTGTTTTATAACCTCCACAGAGTGATCCTTTCCAGAAATGACCACAGATAACATCTGGCTGACACATAAAATTCGTAGTAAAAATAATCATTTTTAATTGCCTAAAACCTGCTCAGGAGAGAGAGTGGAGGAGCATCCATCTGGTCTGTTCTTATTTAATAGGACAAAAGAGGATCAGCTGCTTACTGCAATATACAGGAAATATGGTGACCTTACAACGAACTGAAACTTTCTAAAACAAAAGCAGTAAGAGCAAGGAGGAACCTGCAGGAAAGACAAGGCTAAAATTTGAATTCTTAAATAATAAGTCTTGGAGCTGGAGAGATGTTCTAAACGGTTAAGAACACTCACTGTTGTTGCAGAGGACCTAGCTTCAATTCCCAGCATCCACGTAGTGGCTCAGAACCATCTGTAACTCCAGTTCAGGGAATCCAGTGCCCTCTTCTGGCTCCCATGGGCACCAGCTGCACACATGCACAGATATACATTAAGCAAAACACCTTACACATTAAATTTAACACAAGCCAAAAATGTTAGTTTTATGACATTCATTTTTCTGGAGGAAATTTGGGGAATGTTCTCAATTCATTTGAACAATAACATGATGCTGTATTAACGTAATGTTATACTTTACTCCCGTGATTGACAGGGATGAGAAAGAGCTTGAAAAATTAGCTAAAGGTAAAGGAGCAGGGCATATAGCCCACTTGGTAGCATGATTGCCTAGCAAGTGTAGAACCGTGGATTCTATTCCCACCACCTCATACACCAGGAAAGTACTCGGGAAAGAAGAGGCAAGAGGATCGGAAGTTGAAGTTCATCCTTGGCTGCATCCAGGGTTTGCTGTCAGCCTGGGTTGTATGAGATACTGTCTCGGAATGAAGAAACACCTGGGCGTTTTTTACCTGAGAAGACCCAAGTTTCCTCCATAGCTGATGATCCCAGGAGGCTTCTGTGTTCAATTTGAGCAAGGGAAATGAAATTAGATGGATTCTGAAATGTGTCATCAAGAAGCAGTGCTCCTTGTTGTTCCTGTCCCCCAAGTAGATTGTCCTTTTACTGGGGCATCTTATGCTGCCAAGAGAGTGGTTGTCAAATGCTAGTAGCAGAAATACTGGTCTTTCATAAGACAGGGTTGGGGCCCCACCTAAGGAGTCTGCAGTTCAGGACTGGAAACTGAGAGCTTGCCAAGAGATGCAGACAGTGATCCTGGTTTGTACTTGAGAACCACCTGCCTAGGAAGGCTTGCCCTTAAGGTCCCAAATCAGTGAGTACATCCTTGAGCCAGCCAAACTGACTGGTTGGGGGCTTTATCTCCCAACTCCAGGAGTGAGTGTTGTGTGTGTTACCCTATTCATCCTAGCCAAGAGTAGGAGAGGGAGCAATGGTAATGACATCATCCCTTAATCCCTTCACAGTGGGCCATGAACTTGATTTCACTTTGGGCTTTCAAAGCAAGCGCTGGAGCCTAGAATAAACACTTTAGACATGTTTAGAATCATTATCCTTGAAATCTCCAAAGAGTCCCAGCATACCAGCGCAGTGAGATTCAGCTGTGCTTCATTTTACCAATTTGGAATGCTTTAGCTTTTGATGATTCAAGTGTAGTCAGGTGCTTAAAGCCGAGCTTTATTCTAACAGACGCCATCCTTTAACTTACATTTGGGATAGATCACACACTCTAGGGATGCCATGCTTCACAGACAGGTGGCTCTTCGTTTGAAGGTTCTCGGTGGGGAACCCCCCAGAGCGTATGGAAATATTAGGTGCTTAGTGTGCTCGACACGAGAGTTTTTCATTTGTCTTTTGCTTTTTTAGCGTGTGCTCTGTCAGTGCTGTGCATAGCTGTGAACGGTTTCCAGTTCTAAACAACGGTATTCTACCCGGGGGCATGTGCAGAAAGGGTGTTTAAAGTTTGCTGAGCATTGTACAGAATGTTGGACATGCAGACAGCCAATTAAGAACAGTGTTCGAACCATTCCTTCAAACTGCAGTGGTTGCCTTGGGCACTTGGCCCTGGAACTGCCACAGTTGCCAAAGACGGCTTCTCCGTATTGTTCTGTTGGGTACCAGGTTTCTGGGTCATCAGTCCAGTGCCTAGGGATTAAGTCACCTGCCTGCATCCCGGCAGCCCAGGAGGGTGGGGAGGCGCATCCTGCCTGCCGTTTTGAGGATGAAGCACATTAGATTTCTAATGTTGATTGTCAGCTACAGCGTAGCGCAGTGGTGCTGGGCAGAGGCTTATGCTTTTGTGGTAACAATGCTAAGTGTTGGGCAGTTGCGCTGCTGTTCGCTGGAGCGGAACTCTTAAAGCTGCCCCTCATCTCTTGGCCCCGTGCGTGCAGTAAGTTCTGAGAAGTCTTATGAAATTCTTTTTAAGGGGACTTTATCAGTGACATTTACATTTTTATTTCCTTACACAGCTATCCGTTGGCTTCTGACCCAGAGTTATTTCCCCCTAACCCCCGCCCCAACACTATTCCTCTTAAACTCACCAAACTGTTGTTCATTCTGTAAGTTTCACGTTAAGTTCATTAGACTTTGAAGTGAGCTTAAGCTAAACTTCATGATTGCTCCATGTCAGTAATGTTACTATCATCTGTTCCACCAGGTGATATTTATTACCATCTGTTCCACCAGGTGATATTTGAGTCAACACATCCAGCTATCACTCTTTGCTCCAAACCTTTGCTATCATTTTTCTGTGTTATCATGCCTTTTAAAATGGCTTCTTATTACTAATTATCATTATATTGTTATTTGAGAGACTGTGTTTGAGCACATGTGTGTGAGTGCCATGGTACACATTTGGGGGCCAGAGGCCAGCTTTTAAGAGCAGGCCCTTGCTGGGTGGTAGTGGCATACGCCTTAGACCCCGACACTTGGGAGGCAGAGACAGGCAGATCTCTGTGAGTGTGAGGCCAGCCTGGTCTATAGAGAAGTGAGTTCCAGGACAGCCAGGAATGTTCCACAGAGAAACCTTGTCTCAAAAGACCAACACCAAAACAAACACCAAAAAAAGAGTATGTTCTTGCCACCCTGAGAACTCAGGTCTTCGGGCTTATATCCCAAGCATTTTCACCTGCTGAGCCCTTACTAGAGCTTTTAATGTTTGCATTCTGTTCTGTGGTCACAATTCCCATAATTGTTTGTACTGCGTCCTAAAGTTCAGTGGAATCAGCATTATTCAGCTCTGTATTTCATTGTACCCCGAGCCGTCTCTCATCTCTCATCTCTCACTGAGCCATCTCTCTGCCTGTTCCTAATCTGAGTGTTCCTGGTCTCTCCCCCCTTTACTGTCCGCTCCAGTTCTTTTGGATGATTTGGGGGGTATGTTTTAATATACTCTTATCATGCCTGCCATTCTGTCTTTCTGTGTTTACCACAGCCTGCTTGTTGCTGGTTTAATGCTTGTTCCCGGTTTAATGCTTGTTCCCTGGTATCTACCAGGTTGTATTTCATTTCCTGATGTCTTGCCTTAGCTGTCTTCGACCCTTGTATACTTGCTATAAGCTCTTGCTTTATAGGTACGGTAGCTTTATTTGTTTGTTTTGTTTGAGAGGCCATTTTTGATTTATAATTTGATCTTCACTATGGAGATGTCTTTTCTAATGAGTGTTCGTCTCCCCTTCTGTCTGTTTCCTACTTGATTTCCTTGTAGTGGCTTTGCATCATTGCCCATTTTTGGCATTTTTTTCCCCCAGCTGCGAGTTAGAGAAGTTTGTATATGGGATGCGTCTCATCCTAGTGGGAATTCTTGTGTTCAGACACCCTCCTTATGGCACACAGTGATGTGGTGTGGTGCATTCCTTGTGCCTTAGCTGTCCCCCAGCTGCCAGAGAGCAGCTCATGACAACTCGCCAACCAGCAAGCAGCCATCCTCAGGAGCTGGCTGCCTCCTGAATGCAAGCTCGCTAGATGATTTTCCTTGTAGCTTCACCTCTCTTCTACGATGCCAGAGGGATCCAGGAGAAATCTCTGCTGCCAGCCCTCATGGCCTATCCAAAGCAGATCTGGCCTGTCTTCATAGTGTATGCCACCTACTTTGACGTGCTGCCTTTCTGGCCAAGGAGTGAAAGACCCCCCCGAAGAGGTACTTTCGTAGAGGGAGACCCACACCCAGGAATCAGCGAGGCCACGAACTGGATGCAAAAAACAAGAGGCTTTATTGGAGACGCGGGTACCCGGGGCGACTTAGCTTCTGTATGGCTAAGCGCCCCGAGCCAAGGGAAAGGGGTCCTTATATAGGGAAAAAGGCGCAAGCTAGGAGCAGGGATTCGATTGGATAATTCTAATGAGGCATTATACAGAGCTATTCCCATTGGTCAATGTATATGAGGCGCTATACAGGGTTATTCAAATGAGGCAAAGTACAGAGTTATTCAAATGAGGTGAAACACAGAGTCTTTCAAATGAGGCGAAATACATAATCATTTCTATTGGATGGTTCAAATAAGACACAGAGCCATTCCAGATCAGCATATTCTCAAGGTCTGGTGTCTGGTACAGCAGACTCAATTCCCCCCCC